CTCCCCCGCCCCCCTTTCTTCAATCACGCTTCGCTGTCCTTCTATGTATACTTTACTGCGTTCTTTAAAACGTTACCTCTGAGAACTTTAGCACACTGACAAACGCTCAGCCACTACGGGCTGCTGCACGTACTCCTACGTTAAAGTTAGGTCTTAACTCCGGTGCGTCCACTCTTAGGGGGGAGGTGTATAAGCTAAAGCTGGGATGTGAGCGCATGTAGTCCCTCGGAGCAGGGAGTACTAGGGGGGGGGGGGCAAGTCTTCGGAATGCAGCTCGAGCCAACAAGGCGGCCGAGCGGGCGCTCACGCTACCGGGGGTCGCTGCAGTTGAGCTGGCGCTCTGGCGTGAGTTACGAGGGCTTGGACGAGTTAATCTGGGCAGCGTTGGCTACTCTGATAATTTTTAGCTGGAGCTCGTTATCTGATCTGACGATAAAGCCCTCTGCGTTGACTTCAACTGCGACGTTGGGGTGGATATCTTTGAAATCGGACTTAAGGGTATAGCCGAGTGCCTTTTTCTCCCCGTCGGTCGTTTCGCGGTGTCGCAGCATGGGAGACACAGCCCCCATGTTCTTTTTCGTAGTGGCGCCTGATGTTTTGCAGACGACCTGAGAGATATCTGCCAGCGAAGCGGGTCGTGGTGATGCCGACGGCTAAGATCAGAGATGGAGGGTTGACTTGGAGAAGGTCTCGATGTTCTAGACGTTCTTGGATGGTGTTGACCCTGGTGGGCGTCCTTGTCGATCCCGGATGTTGGGGGATCTCCGGCAGGGTAGTGCCCCCAATCTGGGGGCAGACCTCAGCTTAAAGAGTCCTTTCTGGACCCCGCTGGGGGCCTGCGGGGCGCGGGGCACGGTATTGTCTTGCGCCCCGTCTGACAACTGCTCATCGCATTATGCGGGAGACGGCCGTTCCAAGGGTGCGCCCACCGGCCAACCTGCTCACCAGTCGAAGTGAGCTGAGGACTGCGTCCTTCCAGTCCTCAAAGGTTGGCGTTGCCAGCGCCTCGCACTTCCACGGCTTGTACTTAGGCTCAGCACCGGTGTTATGCAAAGTGGGCTGAACTTTTCCGACCGTGGAGCCGAAGCACCAGATTAAAGAGGAGGGTCACCACTTGCCGACTACGCACTTGTAGAAGAGCAGCAGCGAGCTTCCAAGTCGCTTCGAAGGTTTGCATTGCAAACTTGTTGTTGGTAAGAAATTGGCGGTGTTTTTAGGCGGGCAATGCTTAGGCAATCCTTGAAGTATCTTACCTGGTGCATCACGCAGTACCGCACTGTCGTAATGGTTTCTCACATCATCGGAGCCGGCCGCTAACCGGCAAACCAGGTGGATGGTTCCTCTCTCGTTGTTTGTTTCGTACTCCCAAACGGGAGGGGACGACGTTTTTGAGGCCTCATAGTGCACCAAAATAGTCAGCTGAAGCGCCACTGAGAGCGCCGCCAAAAACTCCGACTGTAGGTGATTCTTGGTCCGAAGATTTCATTATCCCCACCGTTTCTCAATATTATGTAAACTAAAGGATTTCGCCGGACGTTTTCTTGAAAAATCGGCCGGATTTAGGATCCATGACTGTCTCTTATTGGCTGAGCTAAATTGAAATTTGAATTGAACTTTAACTTTAAATGCTCAGCCCTGTGAGATAGCGCCACGGGAGGCAGACGGGAAGCTGGCGTGAGGCGCCAGACGTGAGGCGTGAGACGTGAGAAGTGAACAGGCTTGCCAACCAAAATCGCGAAAACATACCAATGACAAAGGACATAACTAAGTTGTAATACAAAGAAAAGAAAGTATTGGTGTGAAATATTTTCGCAAAT